AGCTAATTATATATCATGATTAAATTATCTTTATCAACCACTTTTGTAATGAGGTTCTTTCAGTTTCCTGTAGTTCTTTTTCTTGGTAGTTGTTATAGCTTAGCAGTCACAACAGATGATGGATTCACTGATTATTTAAATTTAGAAGAGATTGTGGACTTTCCTGGGATTCAAGGAAATGAAATTGCTTCAGATATTGATACAGGGCAAGAGAATGCAATTGCCTCAGACAGTGTTGAGCTCCAATGTCAGTCACAGGAGCCAAAAACAATATCTTTAGATAAGGGGTCAAGTGAAGACGAATTAACAGAAAACTCACAAGGAAATCATGGAGTGGTACGGAGGTAAGCAAGGATCTCCATTAGGATTAGGACAGAGAGTCAGCTCCGTAAATCAACAAGGTTACATGGGAAACAGATAGAGAAAGTCAGTGGGAAACGCCATTACTTCATGTCTGTGTTATTTTACCCAAAATTCAGTTAAGGCAACATAGGTGTTTGAAGGAGAACATAGGCCTGAAATCTTGTGTCAAGTCAAGCCCTATTTTTGGATTTAAGTATCTTGGAAGGTTTTCTATTCTTGTTTCATGATTCTTCCTTAAGTTTTCTAAGTAGATCTGTTGCTTATGGATTTTTTTCTGTAATTGTGACTTTTGGCTATTCTTGGAATGTGTGACCTTTCGGTTTTCATGAGACATTTGGAATCCTGTGTGGTTATCCACTACTATTAAACCTGTTTTTTATTCTTCTTCTTCTTTCTTTATTCCTATTTTTTCATATACTTTATATGTTTTTACAATAAACTCTTTGCTTATACTCTGGACTCTTGTGCTGTGTCATAAGTGGCTCCAGGCTTAGGGTACAATAGTATTTTAGCAGTAGTTAACTATTATTTGGGCCCCGTGGTAGCGCAGCAGGTTAACCTGCTGAGCTGCTGAACTTGCTGACTGGGGGTTAGCAGATTAAATCCAGGGTGTGTGGTGAGCACCCACTGTTAGCTCCATCTTCTTCCAACCTAGCAGTTTGAAAACATGCAAATGTGAGTAGATCAATAAGTACCACTCTGGTGGGAAGGTAACAGTGCTCCATGCAATCATGTTGGCCACATGACCTTGGAGGTGGCTATGGAGAAATCTGGCTCTTCAGCTTAGGAATGGAGATGAGCACCACCCCCCTGAGTTGGACACGACTAGACCTAATGTCAGGGGAAACCTTTGCCTTCACCTAACTATTATTTTCCAAGCACAGTTAGTGTTCAGTTCCATTGATGTGCATGTATATACATGTATTCATACATTTATGGATGGATGTAGAGTGAGATATATTCCTGAAATGAAACTTTCATTTCATTTTGGCATGCTCACACCTCCCAGAGTTAAAATATAGATAAATAATGTTATCTCCTTTGAAGAATGAGCAGAAAAATTGCAGGGTTGGATGGGTGGAGAGTACCTTACTTTAGGACAAGGTGAGGGACACTATGTTTTTTAAAAATATTTTTAAATACTGTTTCTTTGTCAGCAGTTAGCTAAAGAATTGGCACACGCTCAGCAATGTAACCAGAAGAAAGTGAAAAGATGGAGAATTTGAGAGGGTTATAGGAGGTAGCAGTGGCTGCAAAGGCATTTGAAAGGCAGTTGAAAAGGGGAAAGGAGACTTATCACCAACAATTTCAATTGCAGAGGAAAAGAACTCTTTTTCAGTATTTGCAGAAATTTTCTTTTCACCCAGGTCACAAATTGTTAGAAAGAAAAATAAAATTAAACACAGAAGTAGTTAGAAGTCATTACACCACTGACACTTCAAACTGATTTGGAAGTCAAATGTAGTTAATGTTTATAATTCACAGATGAATAAGTCCTGGCTTCATTCCAACAAATTTTTAATGTAAACAGAGGCTGCTTACCGGTTAATCTGAATTTTCTACATGCATGCAAGTAGTTAGTATGCTGTTGGTTTTTCGTGTTTTGACTTTGTTTATTCTCATGCTTTATTTATTCCGCAAAATTATTTTCATGTCAGAGCTATACTCTGACTTTGTTTTTATTTAATAAAATATTTATATCATGTCCTACACCCAAAGATCTCGTGGCTGCATATAATAAAATCAATTTAAATTATTTAAAGCAATTTAAAATCCAAGAAAGAAAAATATGAAGTACAGTTTAAAACAACAAAGTACAGTAGTTTTAAAAATATAAATATACATAATGGATTAAATCAATAAACCCCAATAGTTTTAAAACTTGATGAAATTAAGACAATGCTGGTACCAGTCCAGTTTCTCAGAACTGAGTTATCTGAAATCACAGGTCCGCAGCATGGGGGTTCTCCTGGATTCATAACAAAAGCTGGAGGCCCAGGTTTCGGCAGTGTCCAGGGGGGACTTTGCACAATTAAGACTCGTGCACCAGCTGTGACCATACCTTGAGAAGCCAGACGTGATCATGGCAGTCCATGCCTTGGTTACATCCCACCTAGACAACTGTAATGGGCTCTACTTGGGGCTGCCCCCGAAGAATGCTCAGAAACTTCAACTAGTCCAAAGAGTTTTAGCCAGGCTACTCACAGGTGCTGGACCTAGGAAGCACACAACTCCTCTGCTACTTCACCTTCACTAGCTGCCAATTTGTTTTCGAGTCCAATTCAAGGTGCTGGCTTTGACCTTTAAAAAGGTTCAGCTCCAACTTACTTAACTGACTACATCTCCTCATACCAACCTGTGTGACCCTAAGATCTTCAGGTGAGGCCCTACTCTCACTTCCGTCACCGTCTGAAATGCAGTTGGCAATGACAAGAGAGAGGGCCTTCTTGGTGGCTGCCCTGAGCCTTTGGAATACCCTCCCCAAGGAAATTAAAACAGCACTCTCTCTTTCCATCTTCAAAAAGCAGATGAAAACCTTTCTGTTTAGACAAGCCTTCTGTGAAGAAACCTAGTTTTATCGTCAGTCCAGCTAGTTTTATCGACTGGAGTGAAGTGTAATATAACCTGACAAAATACCACATTAATATATGTTGTTTTTAAAGTGCTTATTTAGGTTTATTGGCTGTTTTGTGTGTTTTATATATGTGTTTGATTGTTCCTTTTTAACATTCAAAAAAAAAGTTAAGACATGGCTTTTGAACAAGCGTTTGTAAATGCAGAGTAACTGACATAGGAAAATGGAATGACTAGACAATGAGTCCAGACAATGTTTTTAACAAGAAGACACTGTGAATTTATATTTTATTGATTTGTTTAGTTTTTATTATATGTTATGTTTTTAATTGTATTTAAAGTCTTTTTTATGACATTGTAAGCATTGAATTTTGCCCTGTTAACCACCTTGAGTTGCCTATGGGCTGAGAAAAGCGGTATACAAATACAGTAAATAAATAAATAAATACATAAACAAACAAACAAACAAGCAAATAAATAAATGATTACCTCCCCTTGTGATTGTTATTTTCTTTTTGTTGCCTATCCTATATGCCCCCCCCCCAAGCAAGCCTTTTGAGGCCAAGCTCCATGTTCAATGCAATAACTTTCTCTGTCTCTAACTGGTTCTAGACCTGTCAATCTAATCACCCTGCATAAAACTGTTACTTTTGAACTGATTCCATATTGGATTATAGGTTCAGTAGAAATGCCCTATATCTAAGCAGAAACAAACCCCAGAGAGTTTAGTGTGTACAAGACTTTAGACTAAGACATTCCAAAATATATTTATTTATTTATTTATTTATTTATTTATTTTGGACATTTATATCCCATCCTGTCTCAACCTCTGCAGAGGGACTCAGGGTGGCTGACAACAAAATCATAAATATACATCTTAGGTAAAAACAATATAATGCCATCGGAATGCATGAATTTATTAATTTCATTTCATCTAGTGAAGCAAAAAAATAGTCTCCACACTCCTGTCTCCCTGTCATTCTATCTCCTACCTCCCTTTTCTCCTAACAACTCTGTGAATTAAGTTAAACTAAGAGTGCTATATTATGGGTAAACTAGTATTTGGCGTGATCTTTTTAAAGGATTTCCTAAAACAGTATTTACATTCAAGGTTTCTCTGCTTAAAATAGTAGCTTAGTGTGTTGTTCCTCATTAATACCATACTCTGACGTAGCTTGACACATTTGACTCAGTCTTTATTCATAAAATGTTGAAGGATATACTAGTCAGAAAATTCCTCTCCAAATATATTTAGAGCAAACATAGAAAAATTCAGAGGGACCACCCTCTCACACCTCATTATAATTCATGAAACATAACATATACCACAAAGAAGGTAAATGTCATTGTAGCATGATCTGTCTATTTTAAAAATAACAACAAAAATAGAAATAAGATAGAGTTTGCATTTTTTTTCTGAAGGACTTAAACCCTCATTGACTAATTTGGATCGGAAATGGTGTGCACCTGCATCATATGGAAAGAAGTATGTTTACGTGTGCCAATAATTCTAGAAGCAGTTACTAAATGCTACTACAAAATGTTGATTTTTATGAGTAATGGAAGAGCACTTCACAAACAGGATACAAAAGAATAAATTATACTCAATTATAATATTTAATTTTAAGATAATCTGGTGTTAAGTCTTTTTTCATTCTTAATTGGAAGTTTAACACTTCTTACTATAAACTACATGTATTTAAAGCTTTATGGCTGATGCCACTTTCGGTGGAATTGCAGTAAATTTGTATGTTTTATTTCCCTAATTATTTTGCAAAGCATTACCCTGAAGTACATTAGTACATTAAACACCAGTCATATTCTTGTCAACCTTTATACTGTCAACTTCAACACCCTCCCTCCCTCCCTCCCTCCCTCTCTTTCCCCATCCCCCCCTCACACACACTTTCTCTTGATTAGGTTTCCTAAATGACTGAATGAAATGCTGCAAAATGAGGCATGATGATCAGATTGCAGTCTGTGATGCTAACTGTGCATATAGCAAGACCGTTTACTTTATAATACATAGCAAGTAACTGTGAAACACTTTTTATTCCTCCTAGGATCTTGGAAGCAACAGTCCCCCACAGAGGAATTGGAAAGGAATAGCCATTGCGCTGTTGGTGATTCTTGTTGTATGTTCGCTCATCACAATGTCTGTAATTCTTTTAACACCAGGTAGGATGTTTTTGTTTATATATTATATAAACACATTGCAGTGCATATTTTATTTATATCATCTTCTATGACTTATTTTTCTTTGTGCTTTAAGTCTTGTCTCTTTCTTTCAGTGCTCCCTTAATCCTATGAACAGTATAACTAAAAACCTCTTTTGACAAGTTCATCCATGTATAGCAAGGCTGGGATGTTTGTTCCAATATTGTTAGACTGCAACTTTTGGCATTCCTCACCACTGTCTGTGTTGGCTAATGCTGCTGGGAATTATATTGCAAAATCGTTAGGAAATCTACATGAGTTCCAATTCTGATGTAGATAATGATAATTTATTTCTACTATCAGAATAAACATACAGAAAATCTAGAAAAAAGCTTATTTTTTTCCTGATGGTACCCAAGGAATCATAATTGTTGACTTTTTTGGCTCTGCTCACACCTGCTGCTTTCTAGATGCATGGAGATCTCAATAACTGGAAGAAGGTCAATACACTGGCACAGTACTGTTATAATAACTGATGCTGGTATTTGTTTGTGGAGGTTTAGTGTTTCTTTCCTGATTCCTGTTAGAAATACTGAAAATTGGGCCCAGCAAAAGAACTGCATTGTTCTCCTACTACTGCCAGCCTGCTGCATGGGAAATGTAGATGATGCATCACATCATCAACTGGTTGCTAGCCTGTGGGAGATGAGAACATAATATTTTATAGTGATAGAACTCCATCATCATAAGATGTCATTCTTAACCAGCATTGGAAGTATTGGCAGACCTCTTTCTTCCTCCCATTTTCTCATATAATCCAGTTCAAAGCAGATAATTTGGGATCAGATTCTGGGATATAGGGCAGTGTAGATCCAGCCTAAATCTGGTAGTGAATTCTGGCAATTGTGTTTTTCATTCATGGTGAGAATTAGGAGCCTATTATTCACCTTGGAAAGTGGCAAGAAAAGGAAGGAAAAGTATACAGGCACTGGGGAATACTCATAGGAACATTTCAGCATGTTTAAAATTGTATGGCTGGAAAAACCTTTCCTAAATTACGCAGTCTCATCTTATAACCTAGTTTTATCTTCAGTGTGCATCTTTAGCTAACATTTGTACTTTTTACTTACTTTTTAAACAACCCATTTGTTAAAGGTGAGGAGTGGTAGCATAAATCAAGGAACAATGTGTCTCTTGTTTCAGTTAAAGAATACTGGTATGTACTGCAAATGCATCAGTATGTGGCTGGTTAGAAAGACCTGTCAATGAATCAAGGAGATAGAATTCTTTATCAAGAAGGTAAAAAAAATGAGTTAACCTGTACAAATGCGCATATATATATATATATATATATATCTCACAACTGCATTGTTGCATACTCTGTGCAATCACTTCCCAATAAGGGGTGATTTGCAATAAGCAAGACTGGTGAAGATTGGCGATTCCTTCTAACCATGTGATCCACTTAAGCAGGGTATAGATGAGAATCGGGATGGATGAGGATGGTGATGATGATGATAGAGAGTGAGAGAAGCCTAGAGATGAAGAAAGGAAGATAGAGATGAGGAAACCCTTTTATTTTATTATCTGTGTGCCCAGCACTGTTTCAGCTAAAAAAAATCATGGTGAAGTCCTTATTACATGCCATCCTAAACAATCATATATACAACACAAAAATGTTTTTTTAAATAAAATTAAAATATTTGCCTCTAGTTTTCAAAAAGAATTCTGGGACTTCACCAGGAAAGAATACTAAGCATCAGATCTAAAGAGCCTAATGTTATAAAAGGGCTCTGGCTGCTTGTGGTCTTCTAATGAGCAAACAAATCCCCTCCCCACCACCTCATTCTATTCATCTCGCCTAAGCTAGGAATCACTTTGTCTTCCATTGTTCTCCAATGCCTGCTGTTCAGTTGCTTCTCAGAGATTCTCTTGCTCCTGGGTTCTGTATTTCTTCACCTTTTCCTCACCCCCATCAACAGCCATGTTGCTTTTATCAACAGTCATTTGATGTATTTCTCTAATTCAGAGGTTCTCAAGTTGTGCTCCTTGGAACCCTTGGGGCTCCATGAGTGACTATCAGGGGCTCCATGGTATCATGCTGCTTCCCACGTCCTCCTCTTTCTTCCTCCTCCTCCTCCTCCTCCTCCTCCTCCTCCTCCTCCTCCTCCTGAGAAATGCAGAGAATTAAAGTTTGCAGCTGTCGAAACAACAGCAGCGTCCTTCAAGGACACAGACCTTTTCTCCCCTGCTGCCCTTGTTGCCCAAACTTTTTCCTTGCCACCCAGACCCTCTCCCCTTTGCCTTCTTTGCTTACAACACCCTATTGACTTCCCATTGCTCAGGGAGTGCTTTTACTGTGTTTTTTTATATGGAAGAAGGGAGTTGAAGTGAACACTAAGCCCCCTTACAGCATGGTCATGTATGACTACGAAGGAGAGGGTGGGGGATTTTGTCTAGCACCAAGCATGAGTTCTTCCAGATAGGCCCTATATCACAGTATCTGATCTCAGGTTTTCTGTTTATCCCAGATTATCTGGTAGTGCGGACTCATATAATCCAGTTTAAAGCAGAAAACCTGGGATCAGATCCTGAGATACAGTACCTGTCTGGAAGGGCCCTGTGATACACTTTCTTGCTCTCCTCCAATAAATGCTATATGACCATGGGGAATCAGGAAAATTGTAAGTTGGGAGACTGCTTTTCTCCATGAGAACATGTTAAAAAACTCACAGTTTTCAAAGATATTACCAGAGCTCAGAGAAGATTTTTAAAATTACGGTACTCACTTTCATCTATGAGAGCAAGTAATTTAAACATCCGTATCCCTATTTCACACTGTATTTTCCTGTTTATCTATGTGTTCCTTTGGGACTTCAAACTCAAATGTTATGACAGTACCCTTCATGTCTGTATTGAGCTTTCCATTTCAAAATCATTTTATTCCATCTTGTTAATAAAAGCAAATGTAACAATTTTTATCAGCATTCTCTGCCTCTATACTGCACAATAAGTACAAGTAGATTTAGAACTCTCAATGTAAAATCTGGGCAGAAAAATCCAGTCAAGGAGTGTGTAAGTAAGCAAAACTTTATTTCAATGCCATGAACATCTCCAATTGAACTGGAACAATTGGGTAATGTGTCTAGTTACATTCGGAAACGGTTGTACTTTCTAGGAAAAGAATAAGGCAAAACACCACAGAAACAGGAGCTGATTAAGAGTCAATATGGATAAATCTTATATTCTTCAAACTCTCTGAAAGTCAGTAGCTTTGCAAAGTTGAGTTAGAAACCATTAAAAGCTAAAATTAAAAACTCCTGCATTCTCATGTTTTTACCCCAGAGGGCCTATCACTAATGCTTATGTTGGCATTTTATCTAGGTTGCTCAGGGATGTATCCGAGACAAAAATATGCACACATGTGAGCCATCTGGACATTAAATGGTTAAATTATTGGAATAACTCTCAGGCATATATCTGGTGGATTTTATATGCCTAACACATATCTTTGTTATACAGCAGTATTTTAAAAGACATGTTTGGATTATACAGCTTTATGTGTATTATGTACCACTATAACATCTGCTAATTGTATTTCTCTGTCTGTGCTCATTCCTCAATACCTGGAATATCATAGTAATAATGTAAAAGAGTATGCAAACTTTACAAAACAGATTATCTTGTATGTCATTAGGGGTAACACATAACACAAACATAAATTACTAAAACAAAACAAAAGGCAGAAACACAGAGCAGCAGTCCACATTAAGAATGTTATACTGGATCTTCTCTGGTAGTACTATTAGGAATGTGCAATTTGGTTAAACCTCATTCTGTTTTTGATATCTGGATTTCGGTGGACCCCAGATCCATATTTCAGGAGCCTCCTGAATCCAGTCAGAAAAATAATACATTTTTTGGTCTGGCAACCAAAAGGTCTGGGAAGATCTGGCTTGTTGGCGGCAATGGGGAACATATAAGGCTCCCCTTTCCATCATTTTTAAGGCATTAGTCTTAAGAAACCACCTTTTCTGGGATCATTTCTCCTCGGATCCTTCAATAAAACCTGGATGCAAGGCATGAGGCTTGAGAAACCACACTTTCTGGAATCCTTTCCCCTCGTATCCTTCAATAAGACCTAGGTTAAGGAGGCATCAGGTTTAAAAAACCACCCTTTATGGGAACCTTTTCCACTTATATGCTTCAATAAGACCTGGGTTAAGGAGACACCAGGCTTAAGAAATCACCCTTTCTGTGACACTTTCTCCTTGTATCCTTGATTAGACCTGGGTTAAGGAGGTATCAGGCTTCAGAAACGACCCTTTCTAGGATCATTTCCTCTAATATCCTTCAACTAGACCTGGGCAGGAATGGTATTCTCCCTGTGTTTATCCCCTGCTATCCCCTGCCTTCAGGCTATCCCCTGCCTTCAGTAAAACACCCCAATATTTAACCCCACCCCTGAAATGCCCCTTTACAGTCGATAAATGAAATTGCCAAAGGAAAAGTTTGAAATTGAGTCCAAAAGCAAGATCCTAAGAGCAACAAAGGCACTTAGATAGAATACAGATTTTGTAAGTGGCTTTCTTCTTCTGCTTGACCCAAGCAGGCTCCAAGGCTCACAGCCTCACAGGGAAACCCTGTAAATGGGTGTGGCTGCCTCTCCATGTTCCACAAATAGCTGAAAGAAACTGAAAACAGACATTTTCATCAGGCATGTGGTCTGTTGTGGCCGGAAAGAAAATGGCGGTGCCCATGCCATTACGGCTGGCTGAAACAGCTGAAAGAGCTGGAATCTGTTTTGAAAAATGGATCCGTGCACAACACTAATTACTGTCTTTATCATAACATTGGCCTCATCTGCACTGACCATTTAATGCAATTTAAAACTAGCTTTAAACTGTGGCAGCCAGACAAGCAATCACAAAAGTATGTAAAAGAAATCCCTTAAAACGCATCAGTGCTCTGTGGTTTGTGTAATCACCATCTGGGAGTCAAATTGGTTCCAGGATTTCCTATATAATCATCTGTACACCAAAAAGCAATTTTTCAGTACTGCTTTGGAACTGTATTAATTTAAATGGTTGGTCTAGGCAGGCCCATTGACATTTTTATATAACACTAGCTTGGGGAACCCGTGGTGCACAGGTTATTTGAGAAACACAGTGTTTGTTGTATTGTCGAAGGCTTTCATGGCTGGAATCACTAGGTTCTTGTGGGTTTTTTCGGGCTCTATAGCCCGAAAAAACCCACAAGAACCACAGTGTTTGTTTTTTGAAGTTTGGTAATATTAGTTTGGTAATGCCTTACACTATTAATTAGAAAAAAGCAAGTCTTTCCTTTTGTTTTTATGAATGCTCCCAATAGAAAATGCATAAGGATGTGGGTGAACTAAAAGTCTCAGAATCGTAAATCAATCCTTCCCAAACCCTGCCATTATTCAAAGTTGACCATGTTGGGTCTGGGTGCCAAGTGTGGTCAAGATCTAATATCAACTGGATTTAGTGATATCTAGATAAGGGTGAACTACAACTCCCAGATTCCCAGGGCACTCACCCACAAACCAGCCAGTAATCACAGTTGCCTATGTTGGTTCTGTGTGCAAAGTTTGGTCCAGATCTGTCATCGGCTGGGTTCAGTGCTCTTTGGATAAGTGTGAACTACAACTCCCAAATTTCCAGGGCAATCATGTCCAAACCCTGCCATGTTGGGTCTCTGTGCCAAGTTTGGTTCAGATCTGTTGTTGGTTGGATTCACAGTGCTCTCTGGATGTAGATGAACCACAACTCCTATAAATCAAGGTCAGTTTCCCCAAACCTGACCATGGGGGTTCTGTGTGTCAAATTGGGTCCAGATCCATTATTGAATGGGTTCACAGTGCTCTGCCTTGATGCAGGGTGAACTACAACTTCCATCCTGTAGAGTCAGTCCCCTAAACCCCTCCAATCCGTTCAGTTGCTGATCAATTCTCCTGTGTTTGCTTTGTGCCATAGGAAATAGTAGGAAGGGAGAGGCAGTGGACAGGAGTCATGCAAATCCCACATAAGGAACCCTGGGATGCCTGTCTGTGTTGGAGGAAACACATCAAATCTAGGATGAAATTGTCTCCAAACGAAAGCATTCCTTGGGTGGTTAGTGTTTGGGGAGGGCATTGGCAGCATTTGGCCTACATGTTCATGGTGCTCGCTATAACCTGCAATATGAATTGAGGGAGTGCCTTTGGAGGCTCTCAGCACTTGAAACTATAGCCTGTCGAGGCGGGAGGCTGTCTGTGTAAACTGACACAGATTACTGCTATCATTGAATCTTGACTCACATTATATAAGCCTCTTTTAAGACCATGTATGTATAAAGTACTAAAATATTAGTGAAACATGCTCTCCATTTTTACCCTTACTGAGATATCATTCTGAAAAGTACAAATGTATTTAATACATGGGGAAAGAACCCATTTACCACTATGGACCTGATTCTGTGTATTGAAATGGTAGGTCTGCTATTTTGATTTATACATCTTTGTTCTTTCTTGTTTGAAAATAACTGATTTGATGTTAACATGTGTTTTTTTAATTTTATTTAGATGAACTGTCAAATTCATCAGAAACAAGATTGTCTTTAGAAGATCTGTTCAGGAAAGAGTTTATAATTCACAATCCAGAAGCCAAATGGATTAATGGTATGTTGCATGTTATTAAGCATTCTGAACAGAAAGAGTTGGATTGGGCATATTTATAAATAAATCCAAATGATGTGTTGACCAATTTGTTAATTTGTTGATGATGTCATAATGTGTGACATTTCTTGTTATTAAAGACTGATTCTTAATAGTTTGACCGGATGAAATTCAGGCATAGTCTTAACATAGAATATAGAAATGGAAATAAATTTATTTAGTAGTGAAATACATTTTGATAATTACAACTTTTCCATTAGTACAGTTTATTTGCATTATGGAATTTCTGGTTGTTTTCTCATCCTTTGCCATTGCTTTTGCCATATAATACTTTTTTATATATATGGAAAGTATTCTGTGTTACTATAAAACTTTTATTGAATTCTGGCAAATTCTGGGAAGTGGTATTAAAGCTATTTGTTAATTTCAAATTATAGTTAATGGAAGGGAGAAATATTAGGTTTCAAAACTAATACTTAGATTTTGCAATGCAGGCGAATTATACAACCCCTCAATCAATGCAGACCAAATCACCAAACATGAAATTTGGATTCAATCAATTAAATACTATCTGGAACAACTGATATGTTTTGATGAAGAAACATTTGCTTTCAAACATTTAAAGCTTATTGTGATCATCATGTGGGGATTACATCAAATGTTCGTTACTTGAAATCTTTTGAAGGATCTCTAGGCATCTCTATGTCTTCTCAAAAATAGACTATTAAAGGAAAAAGTGGAGATTTTTCATTTAGATTCAGGAACTGAAATAGCTTTAACACTTTCCTCTGAAGACAAGTCACTTCAACCACAAACCTGAAAATTGGGAATCTGTGAATTAGCTGAAGAAACATACAAGGCAACATATTTCAGATGGAAAAAATAGGATTAGTTCCCCACAAAGCACAATGTGGTATTCATTTGTACTTTGGCCTTTCTGCAGTGTTGTGATGCTGTTTTATATGTTTGGATTTAAGATAAAATTAACACTCTCATGACACTTTTTGGTTGGATCATATATATGACATTAGCCATTAACCTATTTTATAAATTCAGTTTTTCATATTCATACTTCCCCCCATACAAATAGGTAATAGCAACTCCATATCCTTGCTGGCAGCCTCTCTCTCTCTCCCTCTCTCTCTCTCTCTCTGAGATCATAATTTAATTATTTTCTGATGCATATTAATAAGTGTTGGAATAAAAGTTTTCAAGGAATGACAATACTACTTGTACAGATGAAAAGACAGTTCACAACACTTGCAGATCAGTACATGTGCCACAGTTTGCAGAAGGTGAACCAGGAGATTAGATAATGCCATACTAGTGAAAACAATGAAGGGTTGCTAATACTTGTGGAATGAATGGCAGGAAGTCTCATAGACATGGGACAGTATAAAATCTTACCATTGCATAATTAAGAGACTGCATTCATTCTTCATCAAAATACATATTAATGTGTCTTTGTGTGTGTATGTATATATGTGTGTGAGAAAAATCAATTTCCCAACTGACAAAATATATATCTGGCCATATAACAGATAGTTAAGGGAGTAAAATGCAATGCAAAAACAAAACAAATACCACCCTATAAAATACATAAACATCTATATAACATAAGATCTAAAACTATATCCCAGACTCTATGGTCAGGATGAATGTGGACCAGAACATCATGAAGACTGAGTTGCTCTTAATTCCTGCATAGTATCAATTCCTTACACTCCTGGAATGGGGAATATTCCTTGAACCACAGCAACAAAAATATCCTTTTTTTTTTGGCAAACTCCTTCTGGGGTGCTGATGTCTAATGTGATGAACAAGAGAGGCAGAAAGCCTGGCTCTGCATGCACAATCCCCTGAGAGCACACAAATGGGCTCTCTGGATTGTGGCCTGTGTCTTTTTATGTTATAATTAAATTCCATCAGATCAGCCACTGCTCTCTAATGTGATTCTGAAAAAGGTCTATGTCTGTCAGGCCTTTGAGGATGTTAAATGAGAGTGCATCTACTTTTAGTAGTATTGATTTTCAACATTTAATAAAAAGTGAAAATTTAAAATGCTGCCAGTGAGTGATACAAAATGGTTCAGATTAAGGACACATTGAAAAAGAAAGATGGGATGTGCCATAGAAGTAGAAATGAGAGGGAATGGCTGTAATTTGTTTAAACTACAGTGCTGTGTTGAATGATGAGGTATCAAAATGGTTTATCAGATTATTTAAACTTACAAAAAGGCTATGCTATTAAAGGAATGCATACAGATTCATTTGCAGAAATCATGATAAAATACATTTAAATTAGCATGGAATGGGAACAGCTTTGGCTAAAGTGATATGTGGGTAATCTTGGGACCCAACATTTTACCCACTAGTTCTGTTGGTCCTCTGCCAGGTACTCAAGTGCTTAGTCTGTCTCAGTGTTCCTTAGATTCATTTAAGCACAGCAGCTCTTCACTTGGAAATAACTTTCCTATTCAGAATGGTTTTAAAAAGAAATGTTTCACAGAATAAATCCCATCACTATTTTTTTTAACCAGGGTGGTCTCCTGGGAAAAGTGAAGAAGGGTAATCTGACTATTCCTTCTCCACCACACACCTTTTAGATACCTTGCTGTGGATTTATTTTTAAATCCACAGCACTGAAGAACTGAAGAGATTTGTGGGCATGTACAGATTTGGTGCTGGTTCAGGGTGTATCTGTAGACCTGCTCCCTCTTTTGCCATGATCAGCTTTCCACAAAAAAATGTATATTTTTCGGTCCTTCTGTCTAAAAGAGAAATTCTGAAATAGGAGGTTCTCCACATATGGAAAATTCCATGGTGACCGGGGGGGGGGGGGGGGGGGGTGTGGATGGTGCCATAGGGGCCATAGGTTTGCAGGCATAGGTTATGTGTTATGTGTTTAAGCCAGAAACTCATCAAACTGAACTTTTAAATATATGTTAGGAATATATGGTCTGGCAGCAAACAATGACTATACCAACTTACCAGGTGATCCATCTGCTATCCCATACTATGAAGATCTTTGAACGTGTCATCGACCACAGAATTTGTGAAATTGTTCACTTTACTACCAACCAATGTGGTTTATTTATTTATTTACTACATTTATATATCGCTTCTCTCAGCCCAGGGGTGACTCGGAGTGGTTAACAATCAGCAACAATTTGATGCCAAAACAATTACAACAATTAAAGAATCATAAAATACCATTTAGCAAACAATATAAAAATATAAAAACTACACAAAGCCTTAAAAATATTATCATAAGTGTCTTCATATCAAATCATTGTCCAGTTGCATCATCAGTGGTTCCATGATATCATATTTCTATGCTATATTTGGGAAGGTCTGTTCAAAAAGCCAGGTTTTCACTATTCTTTGAAAACTCAGGAGGGAGGGGGTGATCTTATCTCTCTAGGCAGAGCATTCCACAGTCGAGGGACCAACGCTGAGAAGGCCCTGTCTCTCATCCCCGCCAAACGCATCTGTGAGGAAGGCAGGACCGAGAGCAGGACCTCCCCAGAAGATCTTAACATCCTAGATGGTTCATAAAGAGAGATACATTCAGATAGATAAGTTGGACCGAAACCATTTAGGGCTTTATAGGCTAAAGCCAGCACTTTGAATTGTGTCCAGAAGCAAATTGGCAGCCAGTGGAGCTGGCGCAGCAGAGTTGTATGCTAACAACCTGGTTGTTTCATCTCCAGTTGCTGTATCATTGATGCAATTCATGCCACTTGACTCTTGGTTGAGAGACATCATGAGAAACAAAAGCAATGTCATATTATATTTCTTGATTTGGAGAAAGCATTTGATCATGTCCATGGGTGTTGTAGTACAGTGTGATAGTAACGTTACTACTACTGGTAGAAGGGAGAAGAAGGCTGCACAGGTGTTGGAGGAGGAGCAGCAGTGAAAGCGGATTAGAGACATATTCATGGCTCCAACTGATTCTGAGTACTTTGAGGGTTTCTCAGATTGTGAAATGGGGGAAGGAGAGGAAAGCAGGGGAGTTAAGCGGGCTACTTGAGAACAAGAATCAGATGAGAAGATCCAAAGGAAGCGTATCTGTGATATACTTAGCGCTCCAACAGAAGATGAAGACTTTGTGGGTTTTGAAAGGAGTGATGGGACTGGGAGTGACGATGGGGAGGAGGATGGTTTAGACTGGATCCGTGTACAGGAAATTAGGAATATCTGTACTCAGCCTACATCCAGTGATGACTTTGAGGGGTTTGCAGAAGACTGGCAATCTGGGAACACTTGGAAGGACCTAAGTCTTGAAAGACGGTGGCAAAGGTGGAGAGATGGGCGGCAGTGCTGCAGGGAATGGGGCAGCTGAAAGTGATGATGAAAGAGTGGGGAGCAGTTCATCCTCTGATGATGAGTTATAGGATGTAAGTTGGTTTGAATTCAATGGGTCTTTGCAGAAGGGAAAGTGTCTTATTGGGTTTGGAACTTTGTTACTGCCATTACTCTCAAGCTTGGGTCCTTGGACTGCAGATATCCGTGTTTCTGTGACTTCTGGCTGGAACTTTGTAAGTGCTGACTTCTACCTTCCTTTTGACTCCGGACTGTGTTTTGACGACGACTTCGCTTTTTGGACTGCTTCATCTCATTTTGGATGTGCCTGGGCTTCAGACTGCTTTTGGACCTCGATTTTGCATGCTTCCACCTTGTTTTCTTGTGCCTTCTGAACCTTTTGAATTTCAAGCGGATTGCTGAAACTTTTTGTTATCCCGGATTATACTCCAGATTATATTTAAGTTGTGTTTTTTACTTAGCGGTTGCTATTGACTCTTAGTTTGTGCTAGAGGCACTGAGTTAAGTGTCTCTAAGCCTTTTTGTGTTTAATAAACATTTGCTTGGACCTTTTATATTGTGTTTGGCATTCTTGAGGCTTCTGGGTCTTGACAATGGGTCATATCAAAATTCATAATTCTGGCCCTCAAATCTGCCCTTGATTTATACATGAGGTTTATACATGAGTATATTCAG